AACATGAAGTATATTGCCAGCACTGTAGGCACAGTTATTTGCTTTTGTTCTTTGGTTGCTACAGTAGGTAAGGCAACATGGGTGAAATTAAGTAATTATCACAGCCTTTTTCAGTTTGGTGGTGTAGTATTCCTTTTAAAGCTCTGGTTAGATGTAATGACTAAGGCTTTGAGGGTTTTTTACAAGCAGATCTGGAAACTGTGAATCTTGTACTATATTTGGATGTAACTAGACAGACTGAACAACAACAAGATCACTTAGAAGACATTTTTCATAAGATTATATTTCTGAATTTTATGGGCCCAAGTTGACTTTGTCATTCTGAATGCTTATCTAGGAAATACAGGAGAACCATTTGTGCCTTTCTCTCCCACTGCACTGGACACTCTAAAGGCGACAAGAGGGTTGCTGGAATGAGTCGGCAACCACTGGTACCTAGAATGTGTCATGGGGTTAGACTAGCCAAGTTAATGCAGTACAGACTAGCCGAGTTAATGCAGTGCCTACGAAATGAATAGCAATGAGCTTTGCAAGACTACTCAGAAAAATTACATCTACCCTCTAAAGTAAAGATGTGGATTTCCTTTAAAATAATCAACATTAGGTCACATGTAAGCCTGATGGACCTACGAGGAGCTGTATTCTGCTATTTTCATCTGACCTCATCTGATACTCCAATAAGAGTTGTATTTTGTGAATGGGAATTTTCCTGCATGACCATATCCAATGACTTCAGAAGAAACATCTGAACAAAGCTGAAGCAGAAACATATTGTACACTTCTTCCAAAGGAGATGGGGATTTTAGACATTGCTCATGTGTGCTTCTGAGATGATAAGTGTGTATAAATCTGCTTATGTAAATTAATGAACATAATATGAAGAATTGGAGGATAAAAATGCTTCAAGATGTAGTATAACGGCACCTTGATTAAAGTGCATCCTTTTATATACTTTGTGCAGCGCTCCACAATTACTGCCTGTGTTCACCAAAAAAGCAGATGCTATATGAGTTTGCATGTGGTAAAAGTCTTCTCTGGGCAAAGGAAACCGACTGAGGAATGGGGAATTTGTGGTGTCAATTTCCTAAATACAGCCTTGATGCTGGGAATTGTTGTCTCACCTCTAAAACCTGTAATATCCATTTTCATACGTCCCATTTGTCTGGTTCTGTCTGCAAATACCCAGTGGCAGACAGCTGTTGTTTTAGGGATTACATATGCTGCCTTATGGGTGAAACGTTGATAGAGCCAAACAGCTTTAGACAATTTTTTTTTCTATAGCTGTGTTTCCTAAGCTGGTCTTTGGGGGTCCCAAAGACGGTCTACATTTGTGCTCCCTCCCAGCTCCCGGCCAGACAGTCCTCAAATATGTACTGTCTGCGGGTCCCCGAGGACCAGATTGGGAAACACTGCTCTTTAGCCTTTGC